TACAAGGTCAGGGACAGAGGGGGGCGGTAGGGGAACAGACATCCCAGAGGTACCCGCTGATTTGCAGGGTTCCTCAAGGGGCAGTGTTATCCCCAATGTTATTCAACATCTACATGCGCCCCCTTGCCCAGAGGCATAGGCTTAGGTGTCACCAATATGCAGATGACACCCAGCTATATCTGTTGTTGGGCGGTCGGTCCAACTTGACCTCAGATGACCTGGAGCAGGCGCTTCACGATGTGGCAGGCTGGCTTAGGCAGAGCTGATTGAAATTGAATCCAACGAAGACAGAGGTCCTGTGCCTGAGTCGGAGTGGCTCGGGGGGAGGGATCTCACTACCGACCTTCGATGGGCACCATTGGTGCCAGCGCCGAGGGTCAGGAGTCTGGGAGTGCTCCTGGATGCTGCCTTAACAATGGAGGCCCAGGTAGCACCCACTGCCAAGGCAGCCTTTACCATCTGCAGCTGATTAGGCAGTTGGTTCCCTTCCTCAAACGCAATGACCTGGCAACAGTGATGCATGCTATGGTCACCTTGAGGTTAGACTACTGCAACACTCTCTACATGGGGCTGCCCTTGTCCCAAATTCGGAAGCTGCAGCTGGTGCAAAACACGGCGGCCAGGCTGTTCATGGGTCTCTCGATACGAGACCACATCCAGCGTGTGCTGAAGACATTGCACTGGCTGCCAATAGCATACCGGATTCGCTTCAAGATGCTGGTTTTGTCCTTTAAAGCCCTATATGGTCGGGGGCCTGCCTACCTGAAGGACCGCCTTTCTCCATATGTGCCCCAGAGAGCACTGAGGTCAGAGTCACAAAATCGCCTGACTCTCCCTGGCCTGAAAGATGCCAGATTGGCAATTACGAGGGCTAGGGGTTTTTCAGTAGTGGCTCCACACTGGTGGAATGAGCTCCCGGAGGACATCAGGGCCCTGCAGGACCTTTTACAGTTCCGCAGGGCCTGTAAAACGGAGCTTTTCCACCAGGCCTTCGATTAGGAGCCACCACTGACAACCATTGCAAACTGAACATACCACAGCCCTATGTAACAACGCCGGATATGGCCTCTCTCCAGCGGACCATGTATAGAAATTTCCCGCCATCTGTTTATATTTAGCACTTTATGTAATTCTTCATATTGAAATGTTATTGTATTTATTGGTTTTATTATATTTTAACTTGTGTAAGCCGCCTTGAGCCAGTTTGCACCAGCAAGGCGGAATACAAATTGAAGGTAAATAAATAAATAATTTCCATTACCATAGTGGAAATGTGAGATAGGTCTGCAAAGAAGAAACACCACCACTCACACAGCAGTAGTGCTTTCCCTTTTTTTTATGCTACTGCCTGTAACTGAAATTGTTGCTTTGCTTCCCAGTCCTTAAACTGTAAATAATTCTATATCTAACAGTGATAGGTGGCTTCCCCTGTGAGTCCTCACTGGTCCCCCTCCTGTGTTTGCAGAACACACAAGCAGCTGTTTAACAAGTAACAAGAACAAAGAATCTAGTAGCCTTTTCGAGACTAACAGATTATTTGTGGTATAAGATTTTATAGCTGGAAGTCCACTTCAGATACATGAATGTCCTCAGTTGGCAAATGTAGGTACACATATAGCCACATATACAGAAAAAGATCATCCCTCCATTTCTGCTACTTAAAGAATTAAAAATTGTGATTTTCCTGTTATCTAAGTAAGCCCCTCTAACATTATACTGCTCTTACACATAAATCACTCCCCCAAGCAGTTGTTCTTGCACAACTTGTTAGCCATGTTGGTTCTCACTGCCACTAATACTTAGAGCAGTGTTGGCATATCCAAGATTTGGGGGGGAGTAAAATATTTTCTTATCTCAAAATATAGAAATCCCAGTCTCTCTCCACAATATTCAGTAGAGGATCTGTGTGGGAAGAAATTCTAGAGATGCAAACATGGAACCAAAGGACTACTTGAGGCAACATTTTATCCCGGTATTTCACTGCTGGCTACCAGCTGTGTATTGCCAGTAGAAGCTGCATGCCTATGGAAGACTGCAAATCATGACAGATATATAGCTGAAGGTTGCCAGCCCCCAGGTTCGGGCAAGGGTTACCTCGCTTTTGGGGGCTCCAATCAGTCGCCACCCAGCTAGCCAGCAGGGAAGCCCTGCCCCAAGAGCAATCACCCATGGCAACCCCTCTCCCTCCCCCTCCTGTCAGATTTAAAGGGCTTCAGTTGACCAGCAGGGAGCATGTGGCTGGAGGGCCCAACCAGCTGGAGGGCCCTTTAAATTTTTCAGGGGGAATGGAGAGGGGATGTTGCCAACCACACACTCTGCTTGCAAAAAGACCTTTTAAAGGGTCTTTTTGCAAATACAGTGGGGCCCCAGCGCGTGTTACTGATTTCCCAGTGGCCCTTTGCTGCTTGGGATTCAAGCACATGCACTGCCGTCCCATTCACTCACCCCCAGAATGCCTCCCAAATCCCCCACCGGAGCGTCGAGGGGACCTGGCAACCCTAATATGGCCTGATCTTACACATTAATTTAAAAATAGATTCACTATATTCAGTAGGATTGGCAACCAGGATTACAGTGTATCTCCAATATTTTGGAGATCCAACTGAATATGGAAGCTGGAAATTACCTACTGATGACTTAAACCAATCAGCTTTCTGAGATAACACTACCTGACATCAGCATTTGTTGCCAAAACTTAGTGTCCTATGCAATAACAGATGCACAAATATCATGTAAAATGCCACCAGCAATTCCCATTACAGGACACTGGATGAATGCCAACATATAGCATCTTGTTGAGAGAGTTGTTGGATTGCTAATCATTTTTAGAAAGCAGCAGCAATATCTCAAAATGGCATCCACATTTTCTACAACCTCTCCTCCTATGTTTACATACTGTATCATAGTCCATAGACAAGGAAGAAAAACAACTTACTCAAGAATATATGAATGCACAATGGTGCCTAACTCTTTATCCAACCATTATAGTGGAGATACCTGAAGTCCTGTATTTAACCCTCAGCTAAGCACAGTGGATTTATTTTTAAACAAGCTTGCATGGGACTAGGCTGTCAGGGATTCAAGTCTCTCTTTAGAGTGATTTGTACAACTTTCAGGCACATGTAACTTCCATACAATATGAGGCTGGTCACCAGAAATGATAAATTTTTGCACTGCAGCACTCTCAAGACACATACAAACTGTCCTAAATTTCCAACATTGCTGGTCAAGACATATAGGGAATGACTGTTCAAGAAACAGGCCCCAAACTCCTTTGGAAGCATATAACTTGGGTGAATGGATAATTTTACCTTTGTCACAATCTCGAGGAAATAGTTCAAATGCACCAAACAACAAAAAGGGAAATCTATCACGCCAGTACATTTTTATGTCTTCCCATAAACTATGGAGGGCAGAATTACAACAATAAAAAAGAGTTATGACAAACCATTGAGAACAAAAAAAATGAAACATATAGTACTGACAAGTTACTTACCAGGGTTGTTTTTCTTAGGACTCTACTAGATAAGATACAGGGCCTCAGTCTCAGGTGAAACAGAAGCTACTATTGTACAGCTTCATTACATAAATATAAGCTTGTTATTTGTCGGATGTGCTGCTAATACTGATGACATGGGTGAGTCTAACATTAATAATGAACTGCAAGAACTATACAGAAAGGGATCTTTTAGTACTGCATCACAAAAAAGATGCAAATGCCTTTGGCTAAAAAAGTCTGTCGCCTGCAACTAGCTATAATAGCTACATCTCATATACAGAAGCAGGGACAAACGGGCAATCCACCTTGAGTGGGTTATAAATGAGTCAAACAAAATGTTAAAAAACAGGAGTGGGTTTCCATCTTCTTACTTCTTACTTCTTGCTTGTGGACTTCCCGGAAGTATCCAGCTGGCCACAGGTGGAAACTGGATCCTGGCCCAGAGATGGCCTCTTGGTCTACTGAAGCAGGGCTATTCTTATGTTACATTTTACAAACAAGATGAAGACATAATATCTGTGACTTTAAACAGTAAGCATTTTTTAAATATTCCTAAAGTTCTAAACCATTGAGAACAGAAAAAATGAAACATATAGTAGTGACAAGTTACTTACCAGGGTTGTTTTTCTTAGGACTCTACTAGAGTCCTGTCCTTGTACACTCTACTAGAGTCCTGTCCTTGTACACATCAGCTCATATTAAGATAATCCATTTCGAAGCCTCTCTAATCATTTTCCCATTTTGAGTTTCTTAATTGTCTCACTTTTACAGATGCATTTCTAATTCCAATTATGTGCATTAATTTCCCTGCCCACTGGCATTTCTGACGGTGGTGAATGTATACTCCCTAATCCTTACCCCCACAATGAAGCTGACTAATGACAACAACTGAACATAAGGCTGCCAAATCTGAAGCTTTAAAAAGTAAATTTCAGCTTGCATAAAACTCAACACATGTGTAGATCTTAAACCACACAAAAATGCATTAGTAGAAGATGCTAACATATCAAGCAAACTTAGGATCTTATTTGGGACTTAAAAAAAAATAGATAGCAGCATCACTATAAAAACTTACTTTAAAACAAAATCATAGCTGCCAAAGAAACATCTTTTCCATTATGCATTTATTGCAATTATTTAAGAGCTCTAACACTTTCCAGTGGATATGACTGAGCAGTACTGTTCAAAACAGAAGGAAGGAGTTCTGAGGAAATATCCAAACCAGGTTTCCAGCAGATTATAAATGTGTGGTCAGCAAAAGATAAAGTGCATATATTCCATTTAAGTAAGCACATCAAAATGTCATGGACTTAAAAAATACAGTAGTTGAGCAAAACACCATTCTGATTTTAGTGCACTGCATTTAAATAGTTTTAATTTTACTTTTTCATTGGCCTCTGTATAAGTCATTCTGGCTGTTCATTCCAAAAATGCTTAATATTAAATATTAATATTAAACATTATTTTTTTAAGACACACACAAAACAGAGATGGAGCACATTTCCTTGCAGTCCAATATATTGTTTTAACAGGAGCAGTTATTCATCCTTTGGATCCAGGCTTCAGACTTGCAAAAGCTTTAGAGTTTTTAAGGGAATGTGAAATTTCATTGAGAAAAGAAATGAAGTGAGAATCTCTCTCTGATTTCTTGGATTCAAAAATAACTACGATGGTAAAGTGAGGCTCAGGACGGGTTAGAAAGTATGTGCTTTGAACTTTGTCATCATAGAAATGGACCACCTTTTCCAAACTGTTGAGATCAGAGGCTCTGTCAGTCATAATCATAATAACATTGGGCCAGTGCATCACAGGCCTGTCGCTGGGCAGAGAGACTACGGCTGGATACTGATCGACACCCTTTGGGGCTTCCCGATAGGAATGGGGATGATGATAACCATGTCCCTGAAAGCTCTCTGACCCTCGGTTGTCAAAGATTAAAGAAATATTAACAGCATCATATTTCCTGATGAAGCTAGAAATTTTCCCAAAATAGTCAGGATTGGCTTTTGCTGTCAAAGTTTTCATTTCAGATGGAGTTGTTTGCCGACTAAGCGCTTCATGAAAGTAAAAGCTAAATTTCGCAAGAAGACTATTTTTGAGTTTCATTAGCCAGAGGAAAAGATGTGGCGGTTGCACAGCCTTCTGAGATTGGCCACCAAACAGATGTTTCTTGGTTTCTCGCTGTTTCTCAAAGATCTGTCCCCATGTTTGTAGCTTTGTGTGTGCATTGTGCAAGTTGACCAAGGATGGGAGGAATTTCCACTCTGAGATCTGTGCCTGAGCCTTCAAAAGATGTGTAAGAACATCTGCTTCTAACTGGAAATTGCTTTCAAGAGGACTAAGTATTGGATGATGAAACCTGGAAAAGCAAAACACATTTCAATACATGTGAGAGGTGTTGCATAAGTGTACAATTAGTACATGTATACAAAATGCTGCAATTTCTAAAATTATTACTTTTACTGTAATTGATTATCTAACCAAACAAGGAGAACATTATGAAATTCACATAATGCTCCCATTTCACAGAAATCCTAAATGTTTCACAAAGCAGCACTATATAACTTCATGTAACACAGTATATGCTTTGATTACTATGTACTGATAAAAATAATAATGTTGAAGTAACCAATATAGAAAAGTAAGTTGCAACTAACAAATAATCTCAAAAACACGAAGCAACCAGAGATTAGTAATTTTACACATTAACTACAAGAGTAGCGTAGTTTTGCAAATGAAAACACCTAATAAACTACTACATGCTACAGCTAAAAAAATTACAACCACAGTAGACCATCATGACAACAAAAACAGACAGTTGGAACAAGAAATTATACTGGATCTCCCATTATGGATAAATGTGTACTCTTGACACAAATCCACAATAATCACAGTCAGTTTGAGTATTAGGATCAGGCTGCTACTGTAAGAGATGCCCCTGTACCACTAGTCAGGAGAGCCAAAACACTGGCATCATGCAAGGTATTAGGAAGCATTTTTTTTCTTCAGGCCTGTTTGGTCAGGGATCCTAGAGATTTTTTGTTATCCTCTGGGCATGGAACAGGGATCACTGGGGGTGTGGAGGGGAGGTATTTGTGAATTTCCTGCATTGCACAGAGGGTTGGACTAGATGACCTTGGAGGTCCCTTCCCACTCTATGATTCTAACAACCCCATCCCCTGCAAAACTCCAGTTTGCTGCAGTTTTCTACCTTTTCAGCTTTTATTCACCAAATGAAATTACATTCATATTGAAAAAAGAGAACCAATCACTATAAGAGAATTCTGGTTTTAGCAATTTAATATCTAGATGCTGGCAACAGAGCAGATATCACAGATTTTGTTTTCAGATTTTTAACCCAGATACTTCAAGTATTTGAATCACTTACCTAGATAAAATGTGATAATGAGATGTTCCTAATTATAAGATGAAAACACCATTTGCCAACCTTATTAACACATTCCTATGCACAGAATCAAAGATTTTGTCAAATTCAACATTACAATCATATGCCAATAAAGTTGAAATAGCAACCAATATTCACCTCCTGCCCACTCACCATGTGTATACCATCCACATACTAGATAAACCTGCCTCTAGGAATACAGAGATCTGATTTAGTGTAAAAATTGCATATTTCATTGGAGCTGAAATACTAAAGCCACATGGGATTGAATGTTTCTATATCTGTACAAGGATCATTAGAATAGCTATATATTTTAAATGTAATGAAGTTAGGAGTACAAATTGTCTGTGCTATGTAGGTCTAAAACTGGAATTCTACCAATCATTTTTAAAAACAAGCTTCTTGTCCTTGTAACTAAGCTTGACAAAAATATGATAGCCCTTCCTCCAAAACGAGGACTAAGAAATCAGAAGACTGCCCAGTTTTGATAGGTTAGATCCTCTGTGCCTTACAAAACCCCCTCAGATCAATCTGTGGCATCACAGGCTTTTTGGGCTCGTTGAACTGGCCCTTCAATAATCTAACGTGTACATGAAATGTTCACGCTCTTTAAAAAAAACTGTATTATACAGCACATCTACAACATGGTTCTCTCTCAGGGCTCAAAATTCACAGATCCATCAACCTGACTCCCACCAACATTTGCATGAATCTCACAGCAAAAAACTGAACTTCCCTAGTGAGAACATTCCCACTACAGTGCCTGAAATAACAGATAAAATGTGCCTTGAGCTCCCCATATAAGCTTTTCAGGTCACATACTTTAAATGAAGCAGAATGTCAACTGAATAAACTCCCTGTTTGGGTGAAAAAAATAATTCTAGAAAAATGCCAGCTAAGCATGAGCAACCAGTTGATGAACTAGGAATACCATTTTTAAGTAGAAATTATGCCACGCCGTACTTTTTCATATTTCTTACAATTCTGCGGCCAATACAAAAGCAATGGGAGTACTGTATACAACGCTTAATGTATACAACGTTTAATGAATTCTTTTACAAACTGACTGGAGAGATAAAGTCAGGATTTTCTGGATATCAAAAGCAAAGCTAAACATGACAAGTACTTCTATTGCCTCTGAAATACTTCCACGAGCAAACAGCTGCTGGAAATATGGCAGACACATTGTGAGCATTGGAAAGGGTCTGAAGAAACTCCCTAAAATGCATGCCATAAAGCAACAGGTTGATTAAGAACAGCAGGAAGCCACTTCAGCACTATTAGCAAAGGTGCTTCACAAATCCACTTAATAAGTTGCCAAGGGAGCCAGCTCCTCCCCTCTGTTGTCTATGGATTGCAGAGGACTTGGACAAGACTCTCCCTTTCGGCTGGTTTTACAGAAGGCAGAGCATTGCAAGGAAAATTAATGCTTCTTTTACCTTCTTGAAAAGCCTGGTGTGAAACAAAACAACTCACACTCCCTTCCTCAGGGCGGATTGGCCGCATACTTTACCAGGGGAAATCCTGGTGGGATGTTGCTCTAAGCCCCACCCACCCCACAGTGGATTGGTGAGAAGTGGCATGGGTAGCACTGGCACAGCACAAAGCTGGGAGCCACCTTGCCTATGCTCTGCCTTATTCGGGGCCGGAATGAGGAGCACAGTCACAGGGGATACCCAGCTTTGCCCTGTTGCTAGTGTGATACAGCTAGTGAGGAGCAACATGGACCCAGCCGTGTTTGGCTTTCCCCAGCAAGAACAGATGTGGTGTGGCCAGTAAGCAGTAGTATGGCATTACTGGACTCTTCTTTGCTGACCCCACCACACACAGGCTGGCAAGGCGGAGCATAAGGGTACAGCAGCATCTGGCTCTATCTGAGGCTTAGGAGATGGGAAGCATGGCAGTTCCTGCCTTTGCCTTGAAGGTACGTGCAAGGTGCAGCTAACAAGGCGGAACGCAGTGGCGCCTCCTTTCTCTCCAGCTGTCTCTTCAGATGAAGTGAAAAGGGCATGGCCTTTTCCAGGGTCCCTTTGTCCTCCCTTCCACCATGTCCACATGCAGAAGACTAGGAGAAAACTTTCAATTCACTTCATGTGGAATTCTCAACCACTGTATCTCCCTGACCCATCTCTTATGGTGGTGCTCTGGGGAATAGAAAAGCAGAAAAAGGAAACGGAGCTATTTCTAGCCTTTCCTCAAACCTCACTCAAGACAAAGAATATGTTGATAATCTGTTCAAAATAAAAGAAGAAGGAGGAGGAGGAGGAGGAGAGGAAGAAGAAGAAGAAGAAGAGGAGGAGGAGGAGGAAGAGGAGGAGGAGATTGGATTTATACCCCGCCCTTCACTCGGAGTCTCAGAGCGGCTTACAAACTCCTTTCCCTTCCCCTCCCCACAACAGACACTCTGTGAGGTGGGTGGGGCTGAGAGAACTCTGACACAAACTGCTCTTTTTCAAGGACAGCTGTGCCAGAGCTTGTGACTGACCCAAGGTCACATCAGCAGGTGCAAGTGGAGGAGTGGGGAATCAAACCCGGTTCTCCCAGATTAGAGTCCGCGCACTTAACCACTACACCAAACTGATTGCATGGTGCAATCTTGCACAAAACCAGAGTTTTGGCTGTAACCTTTCAGGGCACACATCATATTTCTCAAATAATCTAAAGGACAAATAGGGATAAGAAGGCTAAGTGATTGGGACTACATGGAAAGGAAGACTGGCTCAGAACTATGGTATGCAGAGACCTATTTTCATTGCTTTCAAAATATCCATTTTGGACTTCCAGGGAAAATGGCAACCTGAGTAGTAGCAATCTTAAAGGTTCCAGACTTATCTTGTTGTAGGGTGCACTGTGCCTGGACAGGAGAACTTATCTTTCTGTCTTCACCTTTTCCTCATAGGGGAGACCCAACTGATAGATGAATCCAAGGGGGACTTAATTTATCAAGCCCCAGCGGGTCCCAATACCACCATGGACAACAGAGAAAAAGTAGGCTTTCTGCCTTTAAGGTCAGCCCTTACCTGCCTTTTTTCTTCTTTAATATAATAATCTTTTATTTCCTCTAATATTTGGCTTGTTTTTAAAAGACTCTCACTTTGGTATCATTTTAATAACAAGATCTTAGTGGAGTTATAATTGCAGCAAAATTCGGAAGACTGGCAGGCTTCCAGCAACGTTCGACTTCATCTGCACCATATCTGCTCCCGATAAGAGGAGATCTGAAACTTTATGGTCTATAATTTACAGATAATTACCAAGAGATTTATGCAAACAATGTAAAGATAAATTACTAAATTGCACCAAATTGCTCCTTTTAAGGAAGCATCAACTTAAAAGCAAAGCAGAAACACCAACTGAAACCAAGCCAAATCAAGCTTTTATTTTCCCTTTTAAATTTTATTCTAGATAATTGTGGACTATACAATCAGCTGTTTTTCTTTTTTTTCCTTTGATGAAAACTGCTTATTTTAAAAGGTTCAGTGCTTTGGCTCTGGTGTGACACAATAAAAAGGAAACACCACATAGAATGCCATATTCCACAAAAAGACTGCCCAATGGAAGGATAAGATTTTCTTTTATTTTACAACTATCTACTTCCAACATCTTCTTCAATACTCCCCAGCACATAAAAGCAACGAGAAAATCTTGGACTATTTTTTTATATTTTTCTTTCTAGCATCAGAGACCAAAGAGGAATGTGCACACTGGGAAATAAGAGCTAAGATGTGGGGTCAACCCTATCCTTTTTTTCTCTTTCTTGCCTTCTTCAGGTAAATTATAACAGACCAATATAGACCTTTAAGAGCCAATGTATCAAACAAATAGTCTGGCTGCGGTCACACGCAACATTAGCCACGCAAGAGATACGGAAGACAGGCGGAGTTTCCGGGCGCGATCTTACCAGCACATCTGGGAAGCGTAGCGCTTCCGTGGCACAACCGAGGCTTCCTGCCGAAAACACGCAGCAAAAAACTAGTACCTCGGAGGTACTAGTTTCCGGAAACTGCGGGGCAAGGGCGGGCGTCTGATCGCGTTTCCGGTGGCATCCGGCGCCCGCCCATGTCCCCTTGTGAAAAAGGTTTTTTTTTTCCTCCAAGTCTCCGTGGATGCGCACACGCACCCAACGGAGCATGCGCATTCGTACTGTACACAAAAAAATAAAACCAGTTCGCCGCGCGCTTCTTCGTTGCGCGCAGGCGTGTGTTGTGATCGACACCTCTCCTTAACCACAGAAGCTCCACGGTACCTCCACAGAACCTCCACAGGAGGTCTGATCGCTTAACTGCGTGTTAGTTTGCCCCGGGGCAGTTTCCTGCCCGTGTGACCGGGACCTCTCTTTCTTTTTTCTATTATCCATTTTAAATATTATTTAATTTCCCTTTTCATTTTCCCTAAAATATCAATTTAAAAATTTCCCCTATTTTATTTTTCATCTCTAATATCTTGCCATAACTTAATTAAAAAAACCAACAACAACCATACACACTTAGAAAGGCAAGGTTATTGGATTGAGAAAGCAGAACAAAGAATTGAAATCCTGGAAACTCAATGCAGATCTAATGCGTTTTAGAAGCATCTCATAGGATTTTGAGAGGTCAAATCTGAAAGACAGCTTTCGTGATCTGCTCCAGGACTATTTGAAGATTCAAGGAGATTTCCCCGATATAGACCAGATATTTAGAGTGAATTCAAGATTTGCACTGAAGAATAAGTTACCCCAAAATATACTGATTCACTTAACTCACAAGAAAACAAGAAATGCAACATTAAAGAAGCAAAGAGAACCATTACCTAAAGTAGCAGAAAAATAAGTACAGATTTTTCAGGATCTACCAACAAGCGTATTAAGGAAAAGGAAACATTTTGATTTTCTGAGATAGATTTGGGGGGGGAAAACACCATTGGAAAATACCTCCTGCAATAGAAGTATACTTACCAAAAGGAAGAAAAGTAATCACAACAGAAGAGAAAGCCAAGCAGTTGGCTGAAGAATTGCAAGTGGAGGATCCACACAAAGGAACTGAAGGGAAATCTTCAAGAAATTCAAAGCAAAATTTACAGACCAAGAGTTCCAAAGACGACGCAAACATAGAAAAGGACAAACTGGACACAGCAACCACATTGGGATAAAATGGACAAATTAAAAATAGTATCAGAATGGTCTGAACTCTCCCTGGAGACATATGACAATTTTTAACCAACTAAGAAAGCAAAATGCAGGTGTTTCATGTCTACACGAAACCCACATAAAGAAGAAACACAAACATATTCTAAATAATAAAATATTAGGTAAAGTAGATCTTGCTTCAGCTCAAAACAAAAAGTGTGGAATTGCTCTTTATATACACAACCCACAATTAGATGCACTAGAAGATGCACTAGAAGAATTAAGAGAGCCAGACAGAAGATACCTAATCTTAAAAATGAGACTCCCGGAAGGCAAGGGATGCACAATAGCAACGATATACAGCCAAAATGATGTTAAAGCTAAATCTCTGAGAATTTCTTCCAAATTATGCTAGAATTGTAAGAGGAATATACAATGATCTTTGGAGACATGAACTGAGTACTGGATCCAAAGAAGAGCAGATCAAGGAATACTAAAGGTGGATAAGTACCCCAAAAGATATTTCAATATTTGGAAATGCTGAAATTAGAAGAAGCCTAGAGGATTAGGCACCCATAGGGTAGAGATTTTACCTGCTCAGGGGGAAAGTAAGTCATGGCAAGATATTAGAGATGAAAGAATTACCATTCAATAGTTATATCATCAATCAACTTCAAGACTAAAGAAGATCATTAACACTAAAGGAGGAGCTCAAAGCAATGTGACTGAATTTGAACAGCTGTTTATAAAACAAAAAGAGCATTTATTACAATGATATATAAGTTACTACTCTTGCTTGAAACGGAAGAACAAGTGAAAAAATGTATGATTAAATGGATGCAGAACCTTAAAGAACAGGTATCCATGCATCAATGAGAACGGCTATGGGAAAAAGATACCAAGTTTACAGCTAGTCAGGCATTAAGAGAAAATTGGTACAAAATGTTTTAGATGGTATATAACTCCAAAGGATACTGAGAAAGCAAATAAAAACTACAAAGGAAAATGTTGGAAATGTCAAGACATAGACGGAATTTTCTTCAGTATGTGGTAAATGTGTAAAAGACATTGGAAGGAAATACATGGAGAAATGCAGAATATATTAAAGTTTATATTCCCCATGGAAGCCAGGTATATCCTACTAGGTACATTGCCTAACAATTTGCCAAAAAAATTGGAAGAGATATTCAAATACATGGTTACAGTGACTAGAATTATTTACACAGCAAAATGGAAAGTAGATGCTTGTCTGCATTTAGAAGAATGGGAAAATAAACTTGCTGAATATCCACTGATGGTGAAATTAACAACTTATTTGAAAAACAGATCAGTTACCGAATCTGAGGAGAGATAGAGTGTGTACTATGCAAGCAGGTGACAAATTTAGAATAACAAGTAGTTCAAAATATTGTATACAACTGTATTGCAATGAAGAAGCAGAATGAGAATAATTTCTAAATGTAACATGTTGAATATAAATGTGTGTAAGGAAGTGGGTTTTGGGGAGAAATATTTTTTATTTTCTATTATGAGATATAGAAGACTTATCTTCTGTAGTTTTGTTATATTACCTATTTGCCAAAAGTAATAGCGACTATGCAGAAGTGGCAAAAATAAGCAGTACTGAGTATGTAGCAATGGTGAAAGTAATATTTCAGCTGGAAAACAGATGAGTTTAATTTAAAATGCAAAATGAATATAAATGTATTCCAACATAAGTAAGTTTTATTGTATTTTATAGACCGTATCCCAAAAACCTTTCAATGTAATGAAGCGGGGTTTGGGGGAGATATATTTCCTATTTCTTATACTTTGTTATATATAATCACCTTTTGATATATGTAATTACAATATGTAATCATCTTTCTTTTCTGTACTTCCTCTTTATTGTCTCTTTGTTTTCCACACATATATAAATTAAAATACAAAATATTCATTTGGATATATAATCAAGCTAGTAGATCATAAAATGTGCAGTGGCCAAGTGATGAATTAAGTCATCAATCCAAGAGTACAGTACTTGATACGAACACTTGGTATGTGTCCATATTGTACTCCAAGAATGCCTCCTTGAAATGCTAAAAAGAGAACTAAACTGTCTAATTAAGACCATCACACACAACATTACAAATTTGTTTCCACGGCTTCTGTTTTTTGTGAAAACTACACTACTCTGTACATTGACATATAAGCACTTGTTTTGTCCTGGAGTCTGAATAAATTAATCAGCAGATTTTTAGCTATAAAGACTCATAGTAGAAAATGGCAGGATAATTTTTTGGGATTTTTTTTTAACACACAATGTAATAGGCATTTAAAACTCTGATATATTATTGTTCTCCTATTATGAAATAGTTTGACAGGCAGAGAAGACCCTTTCTCCACTCTGCAACCTTATCACTGTTTTCTGTTCTACCCACAACCACCACCTCAGTTCTGGTAATGCTCTTCCCAGTCATCAAACCCTTCACTATAGCCTGGCTCCCCCCCCCCACCCCACCCCAAACAACTTCATCTCTACAGAAGCAACTCTAAGAAGCAACTATAAAATCCTGCCTCCCCACCTGATCCAGAAGCTGCACTTGAGAGGCAGGAGAAAAGCATCAAGAACAGACTGGTATCGCAAGGGGGAGATATGAGGCAATGTGTCTCTGACACACCTGTAAGACAGCCTGTTAATTAACAGAGAAGATGGGCAAATTTTAGCAGTACCAAAAAAGTCCTGTTGCAAAGTATATTCCTTTACATTTCCTCATGAGTGACAGACCTATGGGGAAAAGTAATGGTGTGCCCATGGCAAAGGGGGTGATTTGACCCTGGACTTCCCAGACCCTAGTTCAACACTTTAAACACTATACCACTCTGGCTCTCAATGTACATACTTGTGCATTCTGAAATAACCACTGCTCTGAAAGAATCCTATCTATAGAAGTTTTAAATTCCTCTGCCTAGATAGGGTTGCCAACCTCCAGGTGGTGGCTGGAGACCTGCAATTATGGCTGATCTCCAGGTGACACAGATCATTTCACCAGGATAAAATGCCCACTTTGGAAGGTGAACTCTATGGCATTATAGCCCATTGAAGCCCCTCCCCAAACCCTGTCCTCCTCAGGCTCCGCCCTTCACACCTTCAGGTATTCCTCAACCTGGCGCTGGCAACCATTTTCCCAGAGCAAAAAGAATCACAATATGTGCAGTGGATAGACTAACCTTGAGCTATATTTCTTTAATATGGTTTCCAAGATGTTTACCAGTTCCTCAGAGTTGATAAACTTCTGAGTGCTCAGGCTGTACGTTTTTTCATAAAAGTCAGCAACTTCCATCCGAGCCTGAACAAAAAAACAGAGCTGCTCAGAGAGGTGAGAGAGCAGTTCTTCCAGGTGAGGGGCTGTTCCTCCCAACGCATTCCGGCCCGTTGCTACCACTTTCTTCAGTTCATTATGCAGGGAAGTGTAGATGGTGCGTATGGAATCCTTTCGGCTGAAGAATGACTGCCCACCTGTTCAAAACAAAAATACTCACTACTCAAGCTCATAGGAGGAAATCATATTGACAGTTCATAACAGATATATACTTTTTGGGTTGATTTGGATCCCCCCCAATAATTTTTCAACAAGAGCATTCCTTCATCTCATCTCACTGCCCATCCTTTGCTTTCACAAAAGTCTCAGAATTATTAAACTTTCTCTTATTTTTGAAAGTAAATCTAGAACCCTGAAGCAATATCTTTCCTGGAGAATTAAAACAACAATGGCTCTATGAAATGTTAATTATCTATGCTGATATTAATAACTCTAGATGTTTATATTGTTTTTTTGGGAAAAACACTTAAATTCTTATAGCAACACAGAAATGTAAACTACAGAGTCATACATATACTAGAGCTTCCCAGCTCCAAAAACCCGCCTAACTGCAATTCCAATGAGAACTGCCATCCATGCAAGTTTAAAGATCTGCTCATTTGTCCATTAAAGCATACAAACAAGCACATCGTACATTATTTAAAAATCAGGAAAGCACCAAGATGCATTTTCTCAACTGCGTCACCACAGCTGAAGGGACTGCCAAGAACTATTAAGAAAAAGCAACAGAGTTAAGTAATCAGTTGCTTAAAAAACAAGGCATGAAATTAGGTCAACTTTACAGTCAAGCCAAATACTGGTCAGCGTGAATTTTACAGGTAATCACTACAGAAGGATACCTGGTTTTTCAAACTATTCCATGCCAACACCAAATCCCAACTATTCCATGCCAACGTTAACAGGAGGCAGGACAACAAAAATATATAATGCAAGAACCACAAAATTTGCAAATGTTAAGTAGCATACACATATCAGCCAGAATGCCGCTGCCTCACTGCAGACTTTGCAAGTCTGGAAAGAGTTTTAACTGTGGAAACACTCTATGCTTCCCTCATTCATAAACCTTTGATTGGTACTCTTCTCTTTTGGAATGGTCTCTTAGAGTATTTCCAGTTGGAAAGTTCTCATACTCCTAGGCTAAAACTCATTCTATTTTCATTGGTGAAAGCCTTCTTGTAGCTCTTACCTATTGGGCAAGACGTATGAACGTGTTGCTCACAAACAGGACCTTAACAAGGCAGATTGATTTCTCTGCAACATATGCACCTGGTCAGTAAACCTATCTTTAAGCAATCCTGTGTGGTTAATTTCAGAGCAACTGAGGCTGCATCCATATACCATTGCATGTTGTGCTATAGCAATCATCTACAGCTGAATCTTCCTATGTGGATAAGAGACCTCAGGCAGTCAATGACTGCAATAGCAGTACAGTATCTAATAGTGTGTGGATGCAGCCATTGAAGAGAGGAGGGGAAATGTGCTGGATTTTAAGGCTGTATGCAACCCACACCCCTCCAGCATCCCTCCCCCCAGAGGTGTCTCTAAATCGGGCTTTCTGCACATGCTTTAACTAAGACACTCCACTTTGCAGATAGGGAGGGAGTCTCAGCTTCCGTGTATGCCTGACCAATCCTGGACCTAAGGCAAAGGATCAAGCGAAATGGTTTCAGCACTGTTTGGAAAGCAAGCAAGTTGAGTCTTATTGTAAACAGAAGAGAACAGCCCCTTTCTCCCCTCTGTCATACAGACGTCTGAGGAAGGCGGGCGGTGAGCGCCTTCCCACAGAGGAAAGGCAAACCCCAGCCAGCAAAAAGAGCGAGAGGGGAAAGCGGGTGGGGAGAGTGGGGAAAGCCTGAAGCAGCCCAGCCGCGGTCCGGTACCTAATTTCTGGCCCAAGAAGGTCATGCTGTGATAGGCCTTCTCCGCTGCAGCCAGGTGGGCCAGCCCGGCCAGGAGCGAAAGCCAGCTGGCTCCGGCGCTCTTGTTTGCCTCGCGCTCCTTCTCCACATTGTCCTTGGCCTTGTCGTAGGAAAAAATACCCAGGTGGGAGAAGAAGGTCTCCAGCACTGCCTGCTCCACCGGCACAGGCGCACCCAGAGGGATCGACTCCCCCATCCGCCGGCCGCCGCGACACAAACAGGCTCCCCGCACTCGCCTTCCCTCCCTCCCTCTCTCACACACACAACAGTCACATGACGAGGAGGTAAAGGAGGGGGGTGCTTAGCTGTCCCGCCCCTTCCCACTCAGGAACCAATCCTCGGAGCAAGGACCGGGAAACCTCATAACCACGTGGCAAATCGAGGAAAGAAGGGGAAGGGGAGTTGGGAAAGCGGCAAACTAACTTTACACTGGCCTGCGCCGGGATGTGAGATGCGGGGAAGTGAGTTCTTGTTGACCAGGTTCCCCCATAGTCGGCTTTAAATAAAAGGGGGAGGGGAAATTCATTTTTATGACGTAATATAAATGCAAGAAAGAGGAGGAGGCCCAAGACCGCATAAGATCTTACACGCTAACATTCCGAACTTAAGGGACGAAACTGAATAATCTCCCACTGCGTAAGCAGATCTTAACTCACTGCAACTGGGTCTTAAAGCCAAGATGAGCTAGGAAAAAACGTTCAATTTTGTGTTTTCCATTATTTATTGTCCACCTTTTTATTGAAAAGGTTGGATGGCAACTTTGGCTTCACCTATCCATCATGTGCAAAATGGGCATGAGAAACTTGTTCAGTACTCCTAGACATTTATGAAAAAAATATTAAGCAGGGAAATGAAGAGTAGCATAGTTTCTTCACAGATGGGTCCCAACTCCCCCAAAAAATAAGGTTACAAGCAGATTCCAGAAAGCATAGAAAGTTTACAAGGGGTCCCACTTCAAAAACATTGAAGACCATTACCACAAATTTAGAGTCCATTGACACCTTTAAGACCAATGGTTTATTGAAGGTATGAGCGTTCGCATTCACACACACTTTTTCAAATATAAGTTAGGACCATTGTCACAGCAGCATGTATCCAAATTGTCCCTATAGCAGATCACTGTCCTAATTTTGCCTTCTGGGATATCTTGAAGGAATGCTGTTATGAGATGATAAATGTCATCAAGATTCAGCTCCTTCAAAAGCACTTCTAAAAATTAAATGAGTATTAACTGCATTTTTTCACACTTCCCACTGCTCCAAGTAGTGATGAATTCTAGGGGCTGTTCTACCTGGAATTGTTCCCTTTGAGCTTGAAAGCAAGCACTGGAGGCTTGTGCCATTTTTATAGTATTTGCTCTATGCACAATTAAGAGCACAGATGAAAGCAAAGAGGTACTCTTACAGAGCAAAGCTCCATTACCCCAGGGAGAGATTGTATAGCCAAAGGTATTAAAGCCATTCACAACAGTGTCCCTTTGTTTCCCAGAATTTAACAATGCTTTAGGCAAGCACTTGAGCATAATCTTCAGGGAACCTTTTTGTACAATTGCCCCCCCCCCAATCGGTTGCTAAGGACTGTTAATTCTTTTGCCATAGCCTGGGACTCCAGTAGTCTTAGGCCAACCCCCTCACATTAATCAGACATGAAACCCACAGCAAGATCTCATCTCCTAAGTTGTTGTTCAGTCGCACAGTCGAGTCCGACTCTTCGCGACCCCATGGACCAGGTCATGCCAGGCCCTCCTGTCTTCTGCTGTCCTCTGAAGTTGGCTCAATTTCATGTTCGTTGCATCTGTGACACTGTCTAACCATCTCATCGTTTGCCGTCCGTGTCTCCTTTGACCTTCAGTCTTTCCCAGCATCAGGGTCTTCTCCAGTGAGTGCTCCCTTCTCATTTGGTGGCCAAAGTATTTGAGCTTCAGTTTCATTATCTGGCCTTCCAGGGAACAGTCAGGGTTGATCTCCTAAGTACACATGAATATTGATCTAAGTAGGCATATGCAGGCTTTATGGTCTGAATACCCACAACATCAACCTGTGAAGATGTTGGCCTTCTGGCAAACCAAAGTTGGAGGGGAATTAGGGTTGCGCTTGCATGTAAAATGAGTGGCCTTGCCAGCATCTCAAGGGTCCCTCAGGCAAAGGATCGGCCAGAAGCCTGACTGCCAATAAAACCATCTCAGATTTTAAATCACTGAAGGGCAAGCTGTTGAACAGTAACTGAACACACCAGAGAGCAACATGGAATAACTGTCAGCTCTGTTATATAAAAAGAGATAATAAGTGTGTTGCTTTGTTCAGCTGTCAAATGTTAGAAGGTATGTAAAGGATGTAGCTGTGTGGGAAAAACAGCCTAAAATCACTTGAAAGCTAACACTAATCACTGCATTATTACTTCATGGTTCTCATCCTGTATTCTCTCTAATTTTTGTTGTCTTGCTTCTAACCTTGGATCTATGAATTCTATGGCAGGAATGGAGAAAGCAACACCAAAACCTTTCAGAATGCTGCTCTATTGGGGTCTTCCAAGACATAACGCTTACTGTCTCCCTGTGAATAGAGAGAAAACCAACTGCCTGGTTTAACACAGGGACAACGGTTTAGAAGTTATCTACAAGGAAAGCAGCAGGCACTGTTAGCACTAAGCTGTGTAAAGCAGTACACCAATAATAACTGCCTGCCCCTTGGTGGTTCTATCCCTAAAATGGCAACAAAACAATCAAGTGTTCAAAAAGAACTTTATTGAAATTCAGAGCACATGAACTAAGCCTGCATTTAGAAGAATGTGTTTGGTCTCTTTGTGGTGAAACGTGGCTTATGCTGGCGACGCAGAACTCTGTGCGGCAGAGGGAACTTAATTTTGGAATCCTGTAGGTAGAAGAACAGAGATGAGTCAAATATTTATCAGCTGACAAAATTAAGTTTCAACTATTATGCAAGTTTTTTAACAAATAAGCTGTAACATTAATTGCATATCAACAGAACAAGATAAATTTATCTTTGTATTACATACATATAAAAATGGATCAAGATGGGTAGCTGTGATAGTCAGTCTGTAGCAGTAGAAAAGAGCAAGTCCAGTAGCACATTAAAGACTAACAAAATTTGTGGCAGGTTAGAGCTTTTGTGAGTCACTGCTCACTTCTTCAGATAAGGTATCTGAAAAAGTGAGCAGTGATTCATGAAAGCTCATACCCTGCCACAAATTCTGTTGTCTTTAAGGTGCTACTGGACTACTGTTCTTTTCTGATATGAAAAGGGAACATCTTAAATGTGCTAAGAAATGTGCTAAGAAATACCATTACTGCAAAAAATTTAAGGTATTTTCCATCTTCTAACATATTTCAGGTCCACAGGATATTTTTACATTCAAGACATTATCTAATACTTTGGAACAATTCCTGTTTGATATTAATATACCTGTATCAAAGACAGTGCAATTCTTGATTTATGGAAATTATTTTACGGACATCACATATATTCTACCATCAATTTTGTAGGTTGCTAAAAGCATGTATTTAACTTTGTTCTACATACATGGAATTGCTTGACAGCTGGTCTGCGGCATTTGCTAGCAGCAATCTCTTCCACCTTCATAATCTGAATTGAATGAGCACGGGCCCTATGACGGGCACCCATATCGCGATCTGCAATATACCAGACAATTGCACACTATTTGAGCAAAAGGGACTAGAAAGAGATTCATGAGTATCAGGACATCCATAAATGTACAAACCATTGCAGCGTTTGAGTCTAGTGCTGTTTGCCTGTGGCACCTTCAATTTCACTTTCAAAGACACATCAGATCTTGAAAGGCGACAAGGTACATTTTATATTTGCACACATGACAAGAACATTTTATGAAAAACAATGCTCTTTGGGTTTGTATGCAGTTTCATATTCAAGGTTCATAACAATTTTATGGTTTATATTCTGTAAAAAGCACAGATGATAATTTTCACTATCACACTAATTTAATGGCAAGCACAGTATCCACATGATAGTACAACCATGGCTCAATTCAATCTTAGGACTCAGTTGCAACTAAAAAAGCACTACCATTGGCTATTTGTTTTATTTAAAAGCAGAGGCCAGGAAAAAGTTGCAATTATTTTGCAGAGCTGTCACAGTTAAATTTGTGCTTAAGTTTTCTTATGTAGTATCTTAACACATTTTTTAAATCAAAGTGAAAATTTATGATAACAGGAGCTGAAGCCTGGCTTTCAATTATTCTACAAATATCTGGAGCTTGGGTCACTGAAAACGATCACTGCTGCTTTCAGCAATCTTTAAAAAGGAAACTTCTTACAACACCATGTGAAAAATGGTGCTCTTCTATATAAAAGCAACCAATTTTGTATACAGTTCTGGTCTAACTGGAAAGAGGAAACCAAAATGATCCAAAGACCAGAAAACTGGAAGGGGAGAATGCAACAGAACTTTATAAAGTTAGACAAAGGGTGGAGAAAGTGGACAGAGAGAATGTTTTCTTATTTTCCTGAAACACTAGAAATCAGTGGCATTCAATGAAACTCATAGGCAGTGGATTCAGGACAAAATACTTCTCTGAACAATGCACAGTTAATTTGCAGACCACACTACCACGGAATGTGTAGTGATGGCAACTTGGACCAGAAAAATTCAGACAATAGGTCCATGATGGCGAAACAGATTCTCCCTGTTCAGAAGCAGCATATCTGTGAACACTGCTGCAGAGGGAGACACTTGGGCTTGAATACTTGTGGTGGGCCTTCCAGGGTATCAGGCTGGCCTCCACTTGCACCTGGCTGGATGACATTGGGCAAGTCATAGTTCTGATAAGAGCTGTTCTTGAAAAAGAGCAGTTTCTGTCAGAGCTCTCTCAGCCCCACCTCCCTCACAGGGTGTCTGTTGTGGGGAGGGGAAGGAGTTTGTAAGTCACTCTGAGACACCTTTGGGTAGTGAAGGCCAGGGTATAAATCCAATCTCTTCTTCTTCATTGTGGGAAAGAGGTTAGTGAACTAGAGACCACTGGTTTGATCAAGTAGGGCTCATAGGTTTTTAACTACTAAACCCAATGGGGTACATTCTACCACCTGCACAATGAGTGCACATTTCCACTGCATTTGTCTTCCTCCAACGGGCAACTTAATTCCTCCTCACTTCAGCCTCCCAATTCACATGCATTTTTTGCTTACGTGTCCCACATGGTTCCATGGATCATCACTCTGAGGGCCAAAAGGGTGGGACAAAACAGATGTGGGG